GCGGATATATTTGTATCCAAGCACGTCCTAAGAGTTATAAATGAAAATCGACACCGAAATATTCAGACATAACCAACCCGAAGAAAAAACACTTTTATACTCGATTAACCGGACAAAACTGGTCGCTTCCGGTTCGATCCGACTCGGTTCTCAATTATAAAATCCCAACACTAAGAAGCACCAACGTATGTAACAAGAAGAATATTAACAAATTGGCCCCTCATAACAAGAACAAGCTTTGTAGAAGAAGCACGACATGTCATAAAAATGGTAATGATAATAATTAAGAGATTCATTAAATATAACCTTGTCTTAAAGAGGCGATAATAGCAAAAACGAAAGCAATGAACAAGTAGAATGGGGCCAATGAACGGTTGAACTTTGTTCACTAGCTTAAACAAGCTTTGAGCAATTTGTTTATAAATTAATTTGTTCATTTTCAGCCCCACTCTTAAGCTAAATTTCATGAAATTACTATCATTTCCAGTATGTCTCTTTAGAATTTATTAAAAAAAATGATTAGTATAAAAAAGATAATAATTAATCTATTAATTATATATTATAGAATATAGATATATTCTACAAAGTAGAAACTGATGCTAATTGGGATTTAACTTAAATTACGTACAATACTCGTGCACTACACGGGTGATTGATAAAATAATTAAATGTACAACAAAAAATGTAAAAAAAAAAAATATATGTTGAAGTTGGAAAAAGAAATAAGAAACAATATATAATAACAATTTATAATAAAGAATTAAGTGAATTAACAATATTATTTTAAATTTTGAAAAATAATTCTTATACATCATTAATATTATTTATAATATTTTTATCTAAAACTAGCACGAATCCTGCGCCATGCACGGTAAGTAATATGCATTAATATTTATAAATTATAAATGCTCATTAAATTATATTTATAAATTAGAAATATGGAATCAATATGTAATACAATAAAAAACTTTCGTCTTCTTCCTTGCGATGATAACCCTAGACCCAAAACCCGTCAAACTTCGCCTCTTCAATCCCGCGCTATTGTGCCTTCCTCGGCAACAGCGTGACTCCGACCAGCGGTCGCCTCTGACTGCTCGGCTAATCCTGAAATCGTGAGCCTCCGATGTTGCTGTTTTTCTATGATTTGCAATCTGCCCTCAGTCGTCGGCGGGCCTGCAATTGGTGGCGGAGTGCTTCTCGATCGCGGTGAGTCTCCGACTAGTCTGTGATAGGCGGTCTTCCCTAAGTCGCCGGCGTGTCTTCGTTTGTTGGCGGTTCAACCTCGATCTGTAGCTTGTCTGCGATTGGGGCTTTCCGATCAGTTCCTCATCTTTGGGTGGGACTTCCGGTCTTTGGTCGTCGACGGGCAACAGTGTTGTTGGGTGAAGGGCTTCAG